AATATACTTTGTGGAGTTAGAGATTTTAATATTTGTTTGCTTATATCTGAATATTATCCTGGGATTAGGTTTGGGAAGTCCGGGGGGTGGGTGGGTGGGGGGTGGGGGTCTTTTTTTCCATATAGCATTGTGAAATATTTGTGATGTTTTTTTTTATGATGAAAATAATAAAATCTTATATTGAATGACTACCAAAAAAAAAAAAAAAATTAAACTAAGGATTTAGTGGCAAACATTGATGTGGGAATCTAAGCCAACTTTTCTTTGGTCCAAAGCATTTTTCCCCATGCATAATATGATGGACAAACTATAGAGATGCTTAACCCTTTTTTGTCATTTGTAAATTGAAGGGTTATCACCTCAATTACAGTATTTGCTGAACAAAATGGGGAAAAAACAGAGAATGGAAAATGGAGTAAGTGAGTAAATGATAACAGGGCAAAACATTTTGCTGAATACCATTTGCTTCTTATGAATACAAACTGAATAAATAAATCATAAACTGCTTCTAATCAAATTCTGATCTAGACACATTGGTTCAGAGTTCCAGTGTCATGTCTTCCATCATTCACTCATTACTTTACTACAAGTAGTTCTTGCTTAACAATGGTAATTGGGATCAGAATTTCCATTGTTAAGTCATGTGGTTGTAAAACATGGTGTACATGACTGCATCATGTAACAACTGCAGACTTGGCAGTCCCCGTTGCTGTCATTAAGTGAGGCTTACAGGTTGTTAAACAAGGAACTCATATAACCATGATTTGTGATGTAGTGCCAGCTCCCAAGAAGCAAAGTCAATGGGAAAACAGGCAGGAAGTTACAAGTCCCAGGATGCTCACAAACCGCCTGGCAGACAGGTGAGTGCTTTGGAGTGTGGCCAGGCCAAGGACAACTGTGAGTGCAGGAAGCTGGAGGTGGCAGAAAAGAATAAAGAGTAGAAGGTTTTGCTAAGTGAAGATGTAGATAAACACAGCATTGAAAATGCTATTTCTTAGGAGTTAGTGAATAGGGTATGTCACTGTCAAACATCTTGATTGTTATTCACAGTTCATCCTTCATTTTAACAGAATCTCTCTGAAATTGTTAACAGCAGACAGTTTTGTTGGGAAGAAATAAATCAGATCAAACCTTTACATACTCTGAGGGAACCTGGGAGGATTGTCGTTGACATCGGTGAGTGTGATATTTACTGTGGTTGATCCCGATAGCCCTCCAACTTGTCCAGCCATATCTTTGGCTTGAATGACAACTGAATAATGTTCTCTGGCTTCCCTGTCCATATTATGCAGAGCTGTTCTTATGACTCCTGTAGTTTTAACAAAAAATGGGGGGGGGGATAGGAGAGCAGGAAAGAAACATTATTCTTAGCTTTAAAAAAAAACACCCAAAACTAATGAGTAAGCCATTACCCAGAACCCCACCTCCATTCACATCTCAAATTAATTGAGATATGATATATAGAAATTAAATACACTTATGTGATAAAGATGGATAACCTGTTAATAAATGAGCAATCCAATCCACACAAGCTGTCAGGTTTAGTGCCCATATTGAAACAGAAATTCCTGGGCACCTGCCTTCATATGGCTTGACTAGGTTCAGGTTTAACTCAATTTAAGGCTTTCAGATACATGGCAAAACACAACTACCTAAGAAACTTTACTGCATACTAGAGAGAACTGTCCTCCATCTTTATGCCCACTGTAGTTTAAATTCCATACTTTCTCTTGTTCTTCCCATGGCTTGGTGGATTATTTGCCCTGCAATTCTTGAAGCAGGGCATCTGTTAGCCCCAACTCTCCTATATTTTCATAAGGGCCTAAAGACATGGCTTTGCCAGTAGGCTTGAGTCCACAGTCGGGGAACAGTGCAATTTGAGCCTTCCAAAATGTTTATTTTCATAATCTGCTTGTATTCTTATGTTGACTTTACTGAGGCAAAGAAATATTTTAAAAATAAATGGCTTTACTAGGCCAGCTCAGAAACAGGTAATTTTAATACAAGGTTACATAATAGAATAACAACTTTATCTAAGTTGGATATTTTCATTCTTTTTCATCAGTGGAAATGCCTTTCCTATTGTTATTATGAAATAAGGCTGCCTTCCTGAACAGACCTGTATAAGCAAACATGCATAGAATCATGGAGACACACCAACATTTCCTACAAAATACAGATTTTATTAGCAAACAGAGAGAATCAAATTCGGCACCTGATTCATTCCAGATTTTTTATAGAACAAGTTTTAAAGATTAGTAATCTTTTATAAACTGAGTTTGGAGAAGAATAGCCAGCACCAATGATCAAGGATAATAAGGTCACAGGCATCAAAGTGGCTGAAATCATCAAATTGTTTTCAAAGGCAGCTCTACATGGAAAACATTATAGTCTGCAAACATTATAGTTATTACTATGAGTGCATATGATTCAGACTAGAGCTTTTTTTTTCCGCAGCTGGTAAGAATTTCTACTGATTTTTTTTTTAAAAAATCTTCACATGGACACCTTAAAAAGAATCAAGCAGTTCACCGTAACTACCTTTTACATTTCCAATAATGTCCCCTTGAAGAAATGGAATTGTTCAATCTGTTTTAAAATTTACCTCTTAGGAATATCACTACAATAGCTGGCATATATCTAACCACCTCAACAAATTCTGTTCTTGCTGGTTAGAACTTCAGGCCATGAATAGAAATATTGCACTTTAATCACCTATCCAACGTTATGCCATCTTTACGTCTATGCAAAAGCAAACATAGATTGATGAAAGTATGTTACTGTACATACTTGTTTATCATACACAAGTTGTGGTATGGTAATAAAACAGAAGTTACACTATCAGCTACTTTTTGAATAACCAAGGACATTTGGTATAAATGCCATTAATTCAAATATCTGAGATGAGCAAATATTGTATAGTAGAGCCAGGCAGTGCTTTGAATTTTTTTTTAATGTTAATGAAAAGTCCTTCAGAACATACAAAAACAGAAACTTAGTACCTGTCTTAATACTTATTAAAACAGCTGCATGGAGTCTTGGGAAAAGAAGAAGGTACTTGAAGAAATTCAGATAACTATGTGTATACCCCCATATACTCTTAAGGCACATTTCATAACAAAATCCAAAGGACTGAACAGCCTTATTACATATCAGTTTGAGATATTTGACCTGCTACAATGAAGTTTTATAAAGTTCAGACCAAGCTATTTATTTATTAAGTTTAATTTATATTAAATGAAAACTTATTATATTTCACTCCCACTAAAATCAATATGAAAAATTAGTCATGGATTTCAAAGGAAATGAAGTACTATTTATTTTGCTCTGAGTGCAAGACACTGTGGCTACTGAGTTCTGAATTATTGCTTATTTTTCCTCCTGTGTAAAGCAGGGGGGTCTTTAAAAATAAGAATGGAACTGGCAGAACTAGAATGCTCGTTATTTCAAGTCAAATCCATCTGTCCCTCTAAATCTCTCTAACCATTCAAGCCATCTCTGTGTGTGTTTGCATGCGGACATATATGTAAACACACACACACACACACACACACACACACACACACACAAGTGTTTGTTAGACTGGAAGTGTTTGTTAGACCATTGGTAGGACTGCTCTTTGTAATATTATGTAGGATTTACAAACCATCCTCTCTGTTTCAGAGAAGCATGAACAATAACAAAATTGCGCAGGTGATGATGATAATTTTATGTTCAAGTATAGCTTGTATATTAAAATGCGTTCTAACGCTATCAAAGTTGACACCAGCCAGAGCATAGAACAACTCAAAGAAGTAATGCAAGATAGGAAGACGTGGAGAGACCTGGCCCTTAGAATCGCCAAGAGTCGGACATGGCTGAATGGATAACATCATCATCATGCATTATAAATTAAAAGCCAATGCCAGTTTTAAATTCCCCTTTTTTATTTTACAATTAAAGAAGACATCAAAGACCAACACTGGACTAAGACTGAAGGGCAAAATCTAATGTTTATACAAGTCCCTCTAAAAATGTATTCTTTATTCAAAATAATATGGAACACTTCACTTATGCTTGGGTGGCAGGTCATTAATGGATTGAGGTTGAGGAGGCATGGGTTCAACCCCCCTTTTTTTTTTACTATGGAAATCCACCAGATAATTCTTGGACAGTTACTCTCAGTTCAGCTTATCTCCCAGGTTTATGTGGAAAACATTGGAAAAGAGAATGTTACCAATATTAATATGAGTTTTTGGAAGATATAAAAACTGTAAAAATGTCTTAATCTAGTGGCTCTTAGCTTTTCTTAGCTATATAGCTCACAGCCCACTAATCAAAGAACCTGGTCCCCTTGAAAGGAAAAAAAACCCATGTATTCTTTTAAAGCAAGATATATTTAAGTTTACAATCAGCTAATACTGTTTACATCATTCAACCTTTTTCTCCAGCGTTGGTGCTCCTACATGAAGGCAACTTGAAGACTGCTGAGGGGCCCTGATATTGTGTGCTGCTTTACCTACCCACCAGCTGTTTGGAAGAAAAGTCTGCATTATCAGTAGGGAAGAACATCTGGACAACATTCTCAAAGAGGGCCAAATGAGGATGTGTCTTAGCAGAAACATGAAGCTACTGTCCAGGATAATGGAGAACATAATAATAATCAGCAGGATTATTGCTATAGGATGGCATACATGACACAGCCTCCTCTATACAATTAGCTTGGCAACTGCCAGTGGTTACCATGACAGCAATCTCCTACATTTGTCTTGTGAAGAAGTGCTTTCCTCCGTAATCATGATAACTAGCATACAACTCAGCTGAATTCTTTCATACACTTTCATGGGGTAGGGGGTAGTTTAAGACTTATTACTTTAAAAGCTTATTACAAAAGGCCTCTGTAAGGAAGTTTAGTTGCAATACTTTTATAGTGTGTATACACATATGCATGTGTACACACATGCACACACACACTCATACTTAACACATTTGGAATGGTTAAGGGCATATCCATCCTTCAAACTTTTTAAAAATGGTAATTGTTCATATACAGTTTCAAAACTATTTGCCAAAAAGACTATGTTATTCCTTTTGCTAAATTTTACATAGTGAAATACATTTCAGTAGTTTAATTAACAAACTGACATGATTAAAAAATACATGAAATCCAAGATTATTACATAAAAGCTAATTATGTTTTGCTAAAAAGACAGTCAACATTCCTTCTTTTCACTTTTGCATTTGAAATCTTAGCCATGTAAGAAGCTTTTATGACACTGGTTACTTATATATTTTCAAATATAGAATTTTCCAAAATTTTTATTCTTTTCAGATGATGGAAATTCTCTCCATGACATATGAATACCCGCTATATTTTTTTGAAAGTAGGAAATATTATCAATGCAACATTAAAATTTAAAATGTCACTGCAGCAGGAAAAGGTACATTTATCAGTGTACCTTAAAGCATTTAAGTAGATGGTCTAAGAACGGAAGTATAACATTTATACTTGTGTGGATTTCAATTAAACTTCACTCTCCTAAGTAGACCAACATCATTTAATTTTAAAGAGGTGAATTCTAGGTCCATGCCATTAATTGCAATAATGCCTGGCTAAAAACTTTGAAAAATTACCTCCCGAGAAATCAGCAGAATACTGTCTGTTGGCAGGAGTATAAATGCTCTGGAATGTTTTCCCCATATTAACGTAGATACAATTGACATTCACTGAAAAGAGAGTGAGTCCATTTGAACTAACTGGACTTAAAGTCAATTAAACATGTAGAGGTTGACACCATTAAATTATTTTCTTGAAGGACACTGACTAATTGAAGGCTAGTTGATGTTAAACTTCATAATTAATAGAAAGGACAAGTTGGGAAGAAACATTAGGCATGTGCATGCCTCAATAATCAAACCCATTAAATTAATCAGTCTGTTTAGTTTTTACAGCACCAAGCCTAGCTATTTCCTAATGTGTAGCAGTGCAGAAATTTAAATTGTTTTGTGCAATTAAACCTTTAGTAAAATCTAGTGAGTTCATTATTCCAGTGGATGAGTTCATTATCTATTTTCTTGTTAATATACATCTGTATGCTTCAGCATGTGTGTGTGTGAGCGTACAGTATGTGTATATACACACACAAACATGTATACTTTTAGGTGTATAGAAATACAGGATTAAAGATGAAAAAAATGTAATTGAGAGATGCACTATGGATTTTTTTACTTGAGAATATCTTCCATGTTATTGGAAGATAAACATGAAGAGTGAGGAAAAAATAAGGCAAAACTACTATTTCAAATTCATTGTTCCTGGTAAA